CTTCAGCTTCATGCTCACCTGATCTTCCTGCAGCTCCAAGGATGATCCCGGGTCACGGATCAGAACCAGAGGTTCAGAGTGGGAGGGTGGAAGTCTGGGGGAGCAGGGGTCAGAGGTTATAAGGAGGAGATCTTGACGGTTTCGTGGGTGTAGGCGGTGGCCCGGGTGTTCCGCAGGATGCCGGGGACGGGCGACGGAGGCAGACTCTCGTCCGGCGTGTTGGCAGGCGGAGTGGGAATGCTGATGATGGCGGCGGTGAAATCCTGCTCACCACAGTTCAGCTTGAGGTCGTCCGGGCGTTGAGGCTGGATCGGCTGGGGAGAGACACGGAGATCAGCGTCGGGTTCTGACCCGGGTTACCCGTCGGGTTCTGGACCCGTCGGGTTCGGACCGTCGGGTTCTGGACCCGTCGGGTTCTGACCCGTCTGGTCTGGACCAGTCGGGTTCTGGCCGAGGTGCTACCCCGATAGCTAACGACCCATGCCATGACTGGCCTCCCCCTGATGTCGGACCACCTCCCCATTGAGCTGTTGGTTTCCTGCCACAGGACTTCAGTCCATCACCAGGTCAGAGTTCAAACTGGTTTCAAACCAGGACAACTTCACGTTCCAGTCTCCATTCTGTGGAAATGTGTGGACTGTGGGAGAAACCAAGTGGTCTACAGGAAGTCCATGTGGCTATGAGGAGGTCAGACATCCAGCTGAATGGTGCCAGAGGTCTGTTGATGTCTACCAGGCAGAGATGGATACATCTGAGCCCGCAGAACGCACGACACACTGACACTCATCCCTGAGGAACCCCGGGTCTGATAGACCTGCAGTCCAACCCAGGAACCTCAGGGCTCTGCTCCAGGACCTTTACATTCTCCGTAAGAGACCATGATTTGGCTCATTTCTGCATCGGTTGTGAGTTTGGCGGTGAGGCGATCACTTACGTTTGTGGTGGTATGGAGGTGGTCTTAAACTGCAGGGTGTCCAGCTCCTGGACGCTGCCCCGGCTCACGGACACCGTGGAGTTGGCCAGTCGCATGGCGGCTCTCCTCCGGGCCCGGCGAGGGCAGCAGCCTGTGGAGTTGTTCTGCGCCCCCTGCTGGCTGGACAGAGAAGTGCTGCGGCTGGTCCGGAAGCCCACCGACTCGGTCATGCAGAGCTCGCTGTAGGTCATCTCACTGGTGAACTCGTGGTTCTGTGGACAAGATGCAGGACGATAGCAGTTAACCTTCTGACCACCATGGAGGAGCCAAACCAAGAGCTGCTTCATCTGTCTGCTGCTTAGCTTCATTAGCTTTATTAGCTCCATTAGCTTTATTAGCTCCATTAGCTTTATTAGCTCCATTAGCCTTAATAGCTCCATTAGCTTCATTAGCTATATTAGCTCCATTAGCTTCATTAGCTCCATTAGTTTATTAGCTTCATTAGCCTTAATAGCCCATTAGCTTTATTAGCTTCATTAGCTATATTAGCTCCATTTTTATTAGCTTCATTAGCCTTAATAGCTCCATTAGCTTTATTAGCTTCATTAGCTATATTAGCTTCATTAGTTTATCAGCTTCATTAGCTCCATTAGCTTTATTAGCTCCATTAGCTTTATTAGCTTAATTAGCTTTATTAGCTCCATTAGCTTTATTAGCTTCATTAGCTCCATTAGCTTTATTAACACTATTAATTAACTTGATTAGCTTCATTCTGCTCTCATGCTATAATCAGGAACATGAGCCACACAGGACTTAGTTCTTGTAGTTCCTGTAGTTCTTGTAGTTCCTGTAGTTCTTGTAGTTCCTGTAGTTCCTGCCTCACCGTGGTTTTCTCCAGACAGTGAAGCAGGTGGTTGTGCTGATGCTCAAAGGCGGATCTGTTCTTCACACAGAGCCGTGCTGTCGCTGTCCCGGTCCTGAAAACATGACAGAAACCAGTCAGTCCTCACTTACAACCTGGAACAATCAGTTATCAGTTTTCCCAGTGAAGCACATTGTGGTCATTCTCCAGCTGTTGTCATGGAGACAGTTGTTTCCCCCATCATGATGATGGAGGGAGAGGTCCAGAACCAGAGAGGTCCAGAACCAGAGGTCCAGAACCAGAGAGGTCCAGAACCAGAGCTGGAAGTAGAAGATCTGCTGGAAGGACGACCTTCTGATGACCTCCATGTCTGATGTTCATTCATTCCTCCGGCTGTATGCTGCAAAGTTGTCTGTGTGTGTGTGTGTGTGTGTGTGTATTTGTGTGTGTGTCTCACTCCCAGAGTGTGGTCCTCTTTGTACTGCAGGAAGGCGTTTGCTGTTCCTTTCTTCGCCATGCGGATTCGAGCCAAACGGACTTTCTGTGAACAGAAGAAGGAAAACAACAGCGTCAGCGTCTCACACGCAGACACACACAAAATTTATTCTCAGTTGTACGATTCTGCTACTGCATGAGGCCCAGCTTCCTGTGGGCGGAGCTACAGGGACGGCGTCAGACAGCCTTCTGACCTGCTGCGCTCTCATCTTGTCGGCTCTCTGGTTCTGGTGGTAGATCCGGCTGAAGTTGGACACGATGACGGGGACGGGCAGCGCGATGACCAGGACGCCGCTCAGGGAGCAGATGGAGCCAAAGATCTTCCCTGCGATGGTGTTGGGAACCATGTCACCGTACCTGCAGAGAAGCAGCAGCTCAGAAAGAAGCTGGAGGGACCAGACTATCGATCGGACCCATCGATCAGACCGATCGATCAGACCGATCGATGGGTCTGATCTGGATTCGTCTGAGCAGTAAATCTTCTCTCTCAGCTTTGGACCGAGTTCTTCCTGAGCCCAGCTTCTTGCCGACCAGCCGGTTCTGGACTTCCAGACTTCAAACTAAAACCTTTTTGATCTCCAGGTTCTGACCTCACTTCCTGTTCTGTTCACCTCTCACTGTTTACTTCCTGGTTCAAACTGTGGCCGTCTGCCAGTAGCTTCAGGTTGAGCTGCTACATGTTAGCATTGAGATGCTATTTTAGACTAACACAGCTTATTTGGTAGGCTAACTGTTTTTAGCACAACATGAACCCAACACCTGTGTTTTCCAGCATCCAATCAGATTGTTTCGAATCAACCCAGAGAAGCGGCTTCATTGCTAGCGCTAGCAGTGAAGCTGTCCATCAGATTTATAGCCTGACCAGAAACAAACAAATATAAAGTTTAGAATGACTGAAATGTGCAGATGGACTCTATTATTTTTGAGCAGAAATTATCATTATAAGCCTGGAATTTCTGATTGAATCTGCTGAGTTGAGCTGCAGGGTCAGCTTCCCACCAGCAGAGGTCAGTAAAGCGCTGCTTCCTGAAGTTGTGGCCGCAGAGAGGTAATTAAACCAGTTAGAGTGTGTGTGTGAGTGTGTGTTTGTGTGAGTGTGTGTGAGTGTGTGTGTGTGTGTGTGTGTGTGTGTGTGTGTGAGAGAGAGAGAGGCTGCAGCTCCTCATGTTTAATAATGGATGGCAGCATTAGGAGCTGGTAGCTGCTCACTGAAGGGAGACATTAGGAAGTTTAGATTGTGTTTCTCTCCTCACTGCTTCCTGCTCTCTGCACTCAGTCTCTTCATTTCTCTCCATCTCTTTTCCAGCGGTCATTATGTGGTGCTGCTGGAGCCAAAGCTCCGTTCCGGGAGTGGAGCTTTGACACCGAGCCAGAGGCGTAGAGGAGGAAACAGGAGAAGGAGAGGAGATCACCAGGGACAGGAAGAAGAAAGACGGGACGTTTGGAAGATCTGGAGTCGGCTGAAGGAGAGCATCGATCCGTCCCTGAGCTGCATTCACCCGGAAACCGCCTGAAACGAGAGCAGAACCTGCTGGTTCGGTTCTGCACAAGGGTCAGGTTGGTCACTGAGCAAGGCCCAGTCAGGAGGAGAACCGGGTCGGCCCTGGGACGGGAAGCGTCCCGGTCCAGAGACAGGAAGACGCTCGGGACCAAACTCTGAGCTGAAGCATCATTTTCTGATTCCTGGAAGCTGAAAAATGGAGTTGGACAGCAGAGGACAAAGCTGCGTTCTGATTGGACGAGATAGGAATCCATTAGTGCTGAGTCAGACTGATGGGATCTGCAGCAGCCAATCACAATCTAATAGACAGACAGACGGCCAATGGAAATTAGTTTAGAGGAGAGCAGAAGGTCAGAGACCAAAACCAGGAATCCATGACGACCGGCAGGAAGCGGCTACAGGTGTGAGCAGAACCTGCTGCAGCTCGGTGGTGGCACCATCATGATGTGGGACCTAACCACAGATCAGAGATGGAGCGATGAAGAGCTTTGTTCCTCCTCTTCCTCCCAAGGACAGCGGTATCGACCCGTCGGGTCAGCAGCTCAGGTCGTCTTTCCTCACTGAAACATTCTGGGTCACAGAGCTGCTAAAGCCTTCATCCTCCTCCTCCTCCTCCTCTGTGACCGGCAGCCATGTTTAATTGATGGAGTGATGATGAAAGTTGCAGGAGGAAGGATGGTTGTTCCATGTTTTACTCCTCATCTTCATCTTCCTCCTGAACTGTGGGTTTTTTTTCTCTAAATGTTGGAAAAATGCCCAGAATAAAGTTCTGGTTCTGGTTCCAATAAGTAACATTCAGAGTAAAAACCAAACTCTGCAGAACTCTTCATATGAGCCAGTGGAACCGAGCCGGGCCGGGTCGATGTCCAACGTCTCCGCAGCTTTAAATAGAGCAGCTGAAAATAGACCGAACCGAACCGATCGGATCAGAAGCTTCAGAGCAAAGGAGAAAGGCTGCGAATTGAAACCTTTCAGCAGCTATAAAGATGATCAAGCATCAGCTGTCTACTTCATCAATAAAGTCTTTGCCTTGGTGAGGCAACTCCTAACATTTTGTCGTTTCCGGAAAGTCTGTAGATTTGCTCAACAATCACAAAATCCACCAAGATTCCTGTGAAGAATGATCACAATAAGTCGTTGCCTTTTCCTGCCTGGTTCTGCTGAGCGCTCAGAAACCGCAGCCCTTCGTACAAGAGAGGCCATTGGGCTAGCAGAGCGACCGTGAGGCTACGGCAGCACATTAGCCCATTAGCCGCTGCTACGACAGCAGATTAGCCCATTAGCCGCTGCTACGGCAGCACATTAGCCGCTGCTACGGCAGCACATTAGCCGCTGCTACGGCAGCACATTAGCCGCTGCTACGGCAGCACATTAGCCGCTGCTACGGCAGCACATTAGCCGCTGCTACGGCAGCACATTAGCCGCTGCTACGGCAGCACATTAGCCGCTGCTACGGCAGCACATTAGCCGCTGCTACGGCAGCACCTTAGCCGCTGCTACGGCAGCACATTAGCCGCTGCTACGGCAGCACATTAGCCGCTGCTACGGCAGCACATTAGCCCATTAGCCGCTGCTACGACAGCACATTAGCCCATTAGCCGCTGCTACGGCTAGTGACGTCCCCCTGCGGTGCCATTACTGGCCTGGTTTGATTCCACTGACCCAGATTGCTGCGACGCAGGATGAGCAGGAGCCACATTTCTTTTCCAGTTTCTAGACGTTTCGGCTTGAATAGGAGCGCCGACGTTCGGATGTGTCACAGATCTCCATCTGTCTGGATTCAAACCCAGAAACAGTTTGGTTTCTGTCAGTTTGGCTGGTAGCGTCTTTAAACAGCTGCTTCACTGATCGTCTGACAGGGAGTAGATGTTTGGGTCGCTGGTTTCTGAGTGAACTGAAGCGAAACACAGCGGCTTCATAATGTCAGGTGCAGCATCAGGCTGTGACCCACAGACACGTTAGAGGTCAAACGTTTCACCCAGCTGTGATTCCCTTGGATCTGACCTGCTCACCTGTCAACTTTCAGACTTAATACAGGAAATGTTGTCATTCAGAGGCTTCCAAAGACAAATGAGGAGGAGTTGCTCAGATTTGTTCCTGAAGAGTTCTGGCTGCTGTTCCCAGATCAGGTGGCTCTAGGAACCCGGTCCGGATCGTCCTGCTGTTCTGCTTCCAGTCCAAGGATTCAGCTTGAGGTTGCAGAGAGGAACCTTCAGGTGGGATCAGGTAACGGCGGCTGGCAGCAGGAACCACCAGGCAGTAAGACAGGAAGTGCAGCAGAGAGACGGACTCCATGTTGGTTCCTATTCACCATGCGGCCCGGGGAGTCTCAGAGTTCCTGCAGCCTGGGACCTCAGAGTCTGACCTCAGAGTCTGACCTCTGCGTCCCGTTGAGGCCCGGCTGCAGGAGGAACCAGACGCGGTTCTGCCTTCGTTCTCCTGGTCAGCCACCAAATCAAAGCAAACCGTTCCAGAGGTTCTGAGGGTCCCAATGGACCGGAACCCTGTAGGTTCCCGGTCGGCCGGTTCTGACTGAGCGACGTCACGTCAACAGGAAGCGTGATTCTGCAGACCGGGAGGGAACAGCGATCAGATGCTTCATCCTGGTTTCTATTTGCAGCTCCTGCTGCTTTTATTTTCTGCCTCCTCCTCTCTTCTATTTCTGGCTCCTTCAGTCCAGAATAAATATTTCAGAGCAGCAGCTGATGTTCCAGAGCTGCAGATCCAGAACCACCAGAACCCCGTCAGGTTCAGAGGAGGGTTCCTGACCCTTCAACAGCCAGCTGTTGATCCTGGTCCAGATGTCTGGACCAATCACAGTCCACACTGAGACCTGAGATAACGATCAGGTCAGACGGCGATCTGATTGGTTGTTCGGTGACAGACAGAGGCAAATGTGCAAAAAACATAGAACTGATGCAAAATCCAAAGCACAGCAGCAAAAACCTACAATCAGCAAAACAAATGCTAACGCTAATCTCTGCAACCGCAGAAAAACTGAAGCAAACAGGAAATGGAGGAGGAGTCCTCAGACGCTGAGAGGAAATAATTGATGAGAGGAGGAAAGGTTTCCGTGAAGCTCAGCCAGGCAGACGGAGCGGCTGCAGCCGCACCTGGAGACCTGCAGTCCGTTCTGCTTCAGTCTGCTGGCCCACGTTCCCCCGGACCGGTTCTGGAGCTCCAGAACCGGTCCGGGTTCTGGAGCTCCACGGTGCCGTGACTACAGCTGCAGGGTGAGAAGATCTCAGCAGTTCTCAGGTTTCATTCTTAGAGCAACTGGTCTTAAGTGGAAACCTTCTCCAGAGGATGATCTGGTCTGACCTCAAGGTCACAGGATGCAGAGAGCGACTCCTCACTACGTTTCCCAGAATGCATCAGGATTACTGACAAACCCAGGCTTCAACTGTAACCAGAAAACAGATGGAGTTCCTCACTCAGAAGATGAGGATTGATTTAGCGGCTGTGTGTGGGTGTGTGTGTGTGTGTGTGTGTGGGTGTGTGTGTCTGTGTGTGTGGCCCGTTGCTGGTCCCAGTAATCACTTCCCAGTCCAGGATTTGGTCCCAGTTCTTCAGTTTATTGACAGATCCTCCTGCTGGTCTCCATGTTGTTTTGGTAAAGTTTGGACTTTAATCCGATTAAAGTTGCTTTATCTGCCTTCTCGTCTGATGTTGGATTCAACAGAGAAACAGAAAATAACAGAAACAGCAGATGACTATTAAGCTTCCAAG